CTGCCACAGGCCCTGCCCTCACTACCCCCCTTCCTGCCCCCTCCTCTGAGCCTGCTGTGCCATCGCTCCTCCCCCACCCACTCAGAACCTCCTGCCCCCTCCTCTGAGCCTGCTGTACCATCGCTCCTCCCGCACCCACTCAGAGCCTCCTGCACGCCACAAAATAGCTGATCAGGAGGTGCAGGGAGGAAAGGAGGGGGAAGGCATGGATCGGCAGGGCAGCCGGTGGGCGGGAGGCGCTGGGAGCAGGGTGGATGAGCTGATGCGGGGCTGCTGATGTATTACTGTGGCTCTTTGGCAATGTACATTGGTAAATTCTGGCTCCTTCTCAGGCTCAGATTGGCCACCCCTGTCTTAGACTGTCTGTCCCAGAGCATGGGCCAGGTCTCCAGGCACTGTGCAGACATGCATAGCACTGGGAATGCAGGATATGCTAGTTAATGAGGCCAACCCTTTTATTCAGCTTGTACAACTCTCAGCACGGCCTGGGGTATATTTCTGAGCTGCTAGCTCTTATGCTGAGAGCCAGCCAGAAGAGGAAGAACAAGTGTCTTGGCACCAGTCAGTAATGGGCATAGGGAAATGCAGGAAGAGAACAGTAGTTTTCCCCCAAGCCCCATTACGTGAGAGGCTGGCCGGAGACTCGCTGTGGGGTGAAGTGGGAACTCCCTCTGTGAATATCCCCTGCCTTGGGGTGCCAAGAGGAGTGATGGGGGGCAGGGGAGGGTGATAGAAAGGCATCATGCTCACAGCCTGCTTCTCCTCCCTCTTGCTTCCGACAGTGCAGTAAGACGTGTGGTGCCGGCCTGCGGCTCCGAGAGGTGAAGTGCTACCAGGGAGATGCCCTGGGACAGGGCTGTGACCCAGCTTTCAAACCCGACGCCAAGCAGACGTGCCAGCTCCAGGCGTGCCCCACAGAGGCACCAGGTAAAGGGGGAGGCTCTTGGGAGGGGAGCTCAGGCCTGGGTGCAAGCCCTTGCTTTAACCGCTGCTGTGGATGCTTTTGCTCCCTAGACGAAGACTGTGAAGACAAAACGACAGCCAACTGCGTGCTGGTGCTGAAGGTGAAGCTGTGCTCCCATTGGTACTACAGGAAGGCCTGCTGCCGGTCGTGTAGGAGTAAGGCGTCCTGATGGCTGCCACACCACACTTCCCTTCCAAGACCAAGGGGCAAGATCCCCTTAGAAATAGACTCCACCATAAACCCCTTTTCTATGACAGAAGCCATTCCACCTGGGGTACTCCATCACGGAGCCAGTCCCTGTAGAAGATCCTGCTCAGCTAGGAAGGATTCCTTGGGCACACATAGCAATAACGGTCCCCTCTTCACCTATAGGATTTTATAGAGAGACCAGCAATTCCTACAAAGCAACCAGAGCCTGGGTAGTGTGGGACGTTGGTCCCTGCTGTCCATCACCACCAAGGAGCTGCTCCTCTTCCCCACCACACTGCTAATTCGTGGCCCTATTCCTGCTGGGTCTGCACCCAGAGCTTCAGGGATGTGACAAGGAGTCCCAACAAGAGATGGCCGAGTGTGTACCACAGCTGACAGCAGCTAGGTCACCTGCTGTACCCTCCAGCCACAAGGTCAATTTTCAAACAAAAAAGTCATTTGACAGTAAAGCAATAACCCATCCATTTGTATTTCCTGCGCATGTGTGTTCAGGCATGGAAGGGGGGCAGAGCTGGAATGGATGGGGGGGGGGCACATGTGCCCCAAGATGGCTTCCAGCGCAGCACTGTGTAAAACCTGCCCGGCCCCGATCAAAGAAGAGAGACTGCCCACTTTATAGTTCAAAGTCCTCATTTATTTCTGACATTCACTCTGTATTCACAGCTGAGCAACAAAGATGTAGAGCAACAAGTAGAAAAGTCTGACTTCCCTGTTCCTTCCCTCACCCCTTAGCAGGTCTGAAGCTACAGTTTGGGCTCCCACTTGTGTTGTGTATATTTTGTACTTATCCACATATTCCAGCACACGTGCAAAATGTGTTTAGTATTTCATGTGTGATGGCGGTCTTCAGCTGCGGTGTACTACCAATCTCAGACCACTTTGCCTCACTCAGGGCCACATGAGCCTGCTAGAAGCCTAAGGGTCACATTTAATGTGTGTTCAATGGAGCAAACTACAGCTGTCTTCCCTTTTAACAGAGGTGTGACCCACAGAGCCTACAGCCTGTCATATAATGCACCACCTTGATCCCAGCAACCTTCACTGGGAAGAGGTAGCATAGTCTCCTTGGGCCGTCCCTTCATATTAAAGAGGCAGAGCTTTGTGCTTTGTCTAGCCCATGGGCTGCACTTTGACCACCGCAGGTCTTGTGGGGGTTAAGTTCAGGCTGGAGGCTAGCTAAAGCAGGTACTAGCATATGAAAGGATAGAACTTGTTGAGTTAGACCAAGGAAAACCCTGTCAGACACTGTATCACCAGGGGAGTTTGCTGGTTGGGATAGGAAGCCAATAGGAGCAATGGGCTATTGAACACTTGGGGTCAGAGGCCTTTGTTGCTACTACCGCCCTCCCACCATTAGCTGTTTTTTTCTCCCAGGGTTGTTAAGAAGACACTTAAGAGGCAACTGCCATATGAGGGAGAACTGGAGAATATTCTATTTAGGGGTCGCAGTGAGGACGGGATGGCTTAAGGGCCAGGGAGTATCAGGATGCAAAGTCTTTCAGTTTTAAGGTCTTGGTTCAAATACAGACCAGCAGGCGACCAGTGGCCGTTCAATGGTCTACACCAAACGGGTTGGTTCCTGATGGAGAGACACTCACGTCACATGCACCACCATCACATTTGGCACTAATCTGCTCCCTCACTGGCAGTCTCAGCAGGGACGCCAAAGAGTGAATGGGCCTGAAGACTGAACTCTCACCTGCTAATGTGGATCCTGCACCACGTCATGCCTCAGCTGTGGCTAAACAAAGAATATAAAGGCTGTCAGTCAGTCCAGCACCTTTCATGGATTTAGACTATTTCCTCTATCACAATTTATAGTTCTAAATAATTCTGCCTAAATATCACGGCCGTGTGTTAAACATACTCTAGCTATCATCACTAAGGAAATTTGTGTGGCAGGAGGAACTTAGCTTTATATGTTCATCTGCAACCAATTTGTACTCTCCACCTGCACTCTCGGGACCCTGCAGCTGGTGGCTATGGAAATGTATCAGAATGACAGATGCGCCTTTTTAGTAATTTTGACCTAGTTTGGTACTGGAGTAAAAAATAATCTCCATGTCCATTTTGCAGAGAGGTGGACTGGATGGTCTAGCTCAGTGGCTGTCAACATTTTTCATGTGGTGACCCCATATTACCCCAGAAAGTAGGCTTGGACTTCCAATCTAGCCCCAAAGAAAGGAAAGGCAATCATGAGCCCCCTAAAGACCTGTCTGTGTGATTCCCCTCACTGGTGGTCATGACCCCAAGGTCATGGTCTAGTAGGATTTTTCCATCCCTATTGCTATTGTAAGCAGAATTAGTCCTAAACGGACTATTTCTCAGTTTCCCAGAAGATGGCAGTGGGCCTTTCAGAGCTTTGCACACTGCAGAAGATCAAAGCTTTCATTCTTTAATATGCAATTTTTCCTTTCAATAAAACCTTGCGCTTTTTATGCCTCTAAATTAAATCACTCCTAAAAAAGCCTGTGAAGATTAAAGGTTTTTGTTTTTTGGCAGCAGCAGCATCTGCATTGTTAGCATATATCAGTAATTTCACTAGTCCCCTTTTCTCCCCCTCATAATTATCTAAAGTAGCCAGGGAGAGGTTATCCTATTTTACATTCTAACACAGACACTAGCATTCAATTGCAACTAATGTGATACAAAGGGAACAAAATGATCAAACTATTTGTTTATTTGCTTCTCCATTAGCTTTCATCAAGCAAGAGTGGCTGGACTTCACCCTCTCTCTCTTCCTCCTTTCTAATGCAGCCATTGCTGGAGCCGACAGCTCCCAGAATGACGTCTTGCTCTTGCTGAATGTGCTCAGTTCATCCATACTGGAGGCCAGTGGTATTGCCTTGGAAAGTGACAAGTAGGATTTGCTTAGTGTAGACACCAAAGACCTCATTAAGGACTCAAGGGAATAAGGAGAGTCACAAGTGTCTTGATAATTAAGTTAGTCCGTACTGTACATAGCCCTCGTTAGACAAGTCCCTTCCGTAGATACAGTGGAATAATAATTACACTTGTGATAGGTTCAGAAATCACCACGTTCAAGCTGTTCATTCAACTGTCCCATGAAAGCTTACAGTGATCTGGACAGATCAACATCAGGACCACGCTGGGTCTCTGACTTAGCTGTTGATGTTCGTTCAAGGGTTCCTCTCCTTTGCAAGAAACCCCACTGAAATAAATGGAGCCCCCACCCCTCGATGGCCATCTCATTGGTGCACCCTGTGAGACAGTGACAATGCTGATTACACGTCTGTACTAATAGCCCTCGGGTTTGGAAAGGTCTCGTGGACGATGCCATGGCGGGTCATCGGGTAACTCTGGAGGGTTGCCATTTTGATGGGTGGCCCCATTTCCTTGTAGCACGCGGGCGTGTAGGTGATCCTCTCACCGCCATTCCGCACCATGTCAGCGGTCCGTATGTAAAAGGGCGAGCCGTAGGGGGAACAGGTAGGGCAGTAGTTCCGAGCACCCTGCTGGTTAAATTCGTGGGGTGGTGGTGCTGGGCTGCCCTGCCCATCCACGATGCGAGAGTTGCAGGCATTGCAGGTTGTAAGGTATGAGTGAGTGGGAAGGTCAGGCTCCTCCTCCTCCTCCTCCTCTTCCTCAGCAGATTCATCTTTCTTGCAGCAATAATACTATGCACAAGGGAAAGGCTTTGGTTAGCAAGAGGATGGCATACTATGCAGCTATGCTTGTGCACAAAGGCCCGTAGAGGGTCACACATGGTCTTGGACACAGGCTATGTTTGATGACATTTTTAGGATTCATGGTCATTCTCCCTCCCCTCCCCGCCATGTTTCTTCATTAATGAAAGTCATGGTCAACTACTGGGAATTCTACATAGAACCATTTGAGAGGAGACGCAAAGAGCTTAAGAATATAAGAACGGCCATACTGAGTCAGACCAAAGGTCCATCTAGCCCAGTATCCTGTCTTCCGACAGTGGCCAATACTAGGTGCTTCAGAGGAAATAGAACAGAACAGGTAATCATCAAGTGATCCATCCCCTGTCGCACATTCCCAGCTTCTGGCAAACAGGCTAGGGACACCATCCCTGCTCATCCTGGCTAATAGTAATTGATGGACCTATCCTCCATGAATTTATCTGGTTCTTTTTTGAACCCTGTTATAGTCTTGGCCTTCACAACATCCTCTGGAAAAGAGTTCCACGAGTTGACTGTGCATTGTGTGAAGAAATAGTTCCTTTTTTTAAAAAAACCTGCTGCCTATTAATTTCATTTGGTGACCCCTAGTGTTTGTGTTAGGAGGAGTAAATAACACTTCCTTATTTACTTTCTCCACACCAGTCATGATTTTATAGACCTCTTTCATATCCCCCTTAGTCATCTCTTTTGCAAGCAGAAAAGTAACAGTCTTATTAATTTCTCCTCATACGGAAGCCTCTCTAGGCAGGCCTGGAGGAGCCACCTTCACTGCTTCTTCCCTGGGGCAGGGTGTGGTAGGACCACGATGCCTCCAGCAGGGGCCTCAAAGGGCCTGATACACGGTCACAGGAACCTTATGTCAGTGGCAATCAGAGTAGCATAGTGGAGCTCCGCCTCACCCGAACACATATCCCCCTTTCTCCTCAGCATAGCCTCTGCTTTGGGAAGAGGTGGCTGGCACAGGAGCCAGCTTCAGAGGTTTTACAGCAGTGAAGAGACCGCCTCTGCCAAAGGAGGTCTCTGCTGGCCACTTATAGTGAATATTCAGCCACTATGTGCCATGCACATGGTGCAAAGTAGCGCAAGAGGAACTGAAAATCTAGTCCAGAAAATTTGAGGCAGCTTAGCCTGGGCATGGTGGGGAACTCTGTCTCTACCCTGAGCACATAGCACCAAGTTCACTTCAATGTATAAAAAGGGTTTTTTAGCTAATCTCCTTAGGAAAAAAACCCCAGTGGTTTACTTTACAGGAGTAACTGTGAAACCAGCCAACCCCTCCAATTAATCTGTGAGCTCTACAAACCCTCAACCCCCAGGATTTGCATCCAGCACCAGGAAAAAGGAAAAGAAATTAAGCCTTCACTCTATGGAGCTCCCTGGGAAAGGGAGAACATAGCAAAGATCTAACACTCACAACACCCGGTGTCCTGCTGCAGTGGGGTATAAAGCAATGCACAGCAGCATTCCTGAAACCCACCTGCATTGTCCAGGTAAGTGCAAAGCACAGGGACCGCACCCCAGAAGTGTATTACATACCTGTAGCCTACAATAACAGAGCACCGCAATAATACACAGTAGGATCACGGTTGCTAGTATTCCGCCGGTGATAACAACAGTTCCTGCTGTCATCCGACCGATTCTCCATCAAACTCTGAAAGGCAGTGCAAGGAAAGGAGTGGGTTAAAGTCAAGGGAGCTAAGAGCAGTGGTCAGTTACTGTGGTTCGAGTTAGGGGATCTGATTCTGCTACTGCTGCATCCGTGCAACCACCACTGACTTTACATGGGGGTAGCTCAGTGGCTGCAGAATCAATCCCAGGGAGTTCTCTGTGCATGTGGGAGAATGAATGGCGTTAGTCAAAGAAACCCCTGAAAAACAGAAGGGTGGGGAGGACTGTGACCAATTAAATGCAACTCTCCAGGACTAGGCGAGGAGGGTAGCAGAAGGCCCTTCTCTTGTACCTTGCATACATATCCCTTTTCACACAGGTGTCTCAAAGTGCTTAAGGAACACTAATTAACCCTTGCAGCCCACTGCCCCATGTTCTAGCTCGGGGAACTGAGCTGGAAGGATTTGCCCAAGGGCACTCAGCAAGTCAAGGCTCCATGCTCCCAACATAGCCACTAGGTGGCATTAATTCAACAGCACACAAGCTGGGAGACTGTAGTTAAGCTTGGAAGGAGTAGATTTTGGCTGATGCTCTGACAGCTACATGGGCAGCTCTTCCATATACCCAGGGGAGGGCAGGCTCAAGCTACTGCCTGCTGCCTCTAGTTGGTGAGCAAGTTTCCAGCTGAAAAATACAGGGCTGACTCTCAAGAAGCAGGTCCCTGTGCAGTGTGACCAGTCTCGTCCAACTGCAGGTGGCTCTGGAGCAGAGGCTACTTCTGAAGCTTAACTGCATGAAGAATTTCTGATAAGGACAAAGATCCCTCCAAACTGAGCATCAATTGTGATCTGAGGAGCATGAAGCCAGATTCGAACCCAGAGCTCCAGCAGGGAAAGTCAAAAGGTACAGCCTGACTTGGTCACGGAGCCTTTGCAAACCCAAACTCCAGAGCACAGCAGGCTCCAAAGGAATCAGCAGGTCTGGGGGAAGCCGTTAGCCTCTCTGCAACGGCCCAGCACCATCCAGCATTAAAAGTGCCGTAGAGAAGGGAAGTCAGTGCAAAGAGAGCATGAAGTGGGTGACAGGGCTGAAAGAGTTAACATAGGGTACTTACGTTCACTGAAGGGTGCGTTGGACCTGCAAGGGATGGGGGGGAAAGAGAGAGAGAGAGAGAGATTAGACCATGTTTGTTCATTATGCAATATCTGACCAGCCACCAGGAGGCAGTGATTCAAACCTGGATAGGCAGGTGTTGGGCATTTCGGGCCTGATTTCTAGAGGTGCTGAGCACCAACAACTCCAGTTGATGTCAGTGGTAACTGGAGGTGCTAAGCGCCTCTGAGAATCAGGACCCTCATTAGCTTAATCCCATTGCTGGGTCTACGAATGAATGGTCAGTGATGGTGCTATGCTGCAGAGTCCAGGGACCCAGGATCTACAGGAGTTGAGCTGTGCACATTGCATAACATTTACTCTGCAGTAATTTGCAAGGGCAAAAAAACCGGTGGCTGTTTCCTGCAATTCCGTTGCCCATCAGATCACTCTGCGATGGCCGTGGCGACAGCACACCACACAGCCACTTGCTCTGGTTCTTCATACGGGCTCCCCCCTTCACCTCAGTACAGGCAAGACTGGCCAGTCCTTCATCAAACCCCACAGTGGGCTGGGGGCGAGGGCAGCTGCAGGGGCTGCTGAAAGCCTGATGGCTCTGCTGCTGCTCCATGCCTTGGGGAGAGGATTCCCCTTCCTTCTGCTCCATGGGAACTCCCCCTCCTCCTTTGGCCTATCTGGGCTTCACGCAAGGGCCAGAATCTGGCTCAGCACACATGAGCAGTGCACTTTTCAGTACATTGCTGGGCATACGATGCAAGTGCGGGTAGCCCTGCCCCAGCGGGTCTGGCAGTGCCCACCCCCCTCCGTCAGTCCAGCCATGCAGCCTGGCACTAGTGAACGGCATTGCTGCTCAGCCTGTCTCACTGCCACTCCCACACAATGGCTGCCCTGGTGCAACTGACAGCGCTGCAGCCCCTGGCTCTCTAAGTGCCTCAGAAGGTCAGATGAATTCAGCCAAGCAGCACCTCTAGGACGCAGGTATTAATACCCCCATTGTACCGAAGGGGGACAGGCTCAGAGTCACACGTAGCGAGTCAGCAGCAGAGCCAGTTCCCCTGCCCACTAGCTGCTTTGCCACTTTTATCATATTTTAATTAGAAGCACAGAGAAGTGGATGTTTTTAAAAGACCAACCACCCCAAGGAAATCAGCAAACAAGGCATGAATTGGTGAGTGGCGTCTCAGAGCCAAACACACCCCTACCCTGCATGTGAATGGCTCTACTGAAGTCAGCAGGAGCCCTGGGCACAGAATGGGGCTTTTAGCATTGTTGTTGGGGCAGTTGGCCTCCAGGATTACAAAAAACATTACCTTCTCCCCTCCCGGCCCCCCAAGAGAGCAACCTTTTAAGGACATGGTGGCTACCATGAGATTGCAAATAATTCAGTGTTGCTTCTTGGGGGAAAAAGCACAGCTTTGTTAAGTATTATTTAGTCTTACAATCTTTACAACTGATTGCACTGCACGCTATTGGATAGCCTCAAAACTGGCCCACACAAACCGTTTATGTATGATTGTTACAGCAGCACTTAGGGTTGGCATACTCTGCCCGTGGCAGTGAGCCTCCTAGCCTGGCTCAACAGACTCGGGCTAGCGGGGTTCACGCGCCTGCTCTACAATAGGACATGCAGAGATCGTGACTTGGGCTCTGAAGCCTAGGAATGGGGGTGGGCTTTAGAGTCCGAGTCACAACTTCCAAGCAGTCTATACAGCTATTTTTAGAGTGCTGGCATGAGGCCCACTAGCCCAAGTCTCTCTCGATCTGGGCTGGGAGGCTCGCTTCCACAGCCAGGAGATGCACTCTCTAAAAGCTCCAGCCAGTGGCAGGGCCCCACTTTGCTAGATGCTGTATAGGGACAGCTCCTAACTCAAAGATTGTGGCTTCACTGCAGAGTTAACTACACTCAAGTGAGCCTAGCTTGAGTGAGAGCAGCCAGACTGTCAAACAACATTCCAGCTGCACGCAGAGCGGCCATGTTAGCAGCTGATGAGTTGGGCTGACTTGAGCTAGCCTATCCCACTTGGTGGGCCGGCAAAGTGGAGTTAAAAGGACCACCGTGCTCAAGTGAAGGGCTTGTGGGGGGAGGGGGAGGTGTCAGCCAGGACTGCAGTTCGGGGCCTCACTTAAGTTGTAACTTGAGTTAACTCTGCAGGGAAGACGAGTCTTAAGTGACTGGCCCAAGGTCACACAGGCAGTCTGTAGCAGAGCCAGGAATCAAACCCAGCTCTCCTGAATCCCAGTCGAGTGCCTTAGCCACCAGATCAGCCTCCTGTGTACTTGGTATATTGTTCCATGTAGTGTAAATCCGCAGTCACCACACTACATCAAACAGATGATCAGTGCACGAGGAGCATGTCTTCTCTTCCCCACAGGGCTCAGATGGGCCTTTTCTCAGCACCTACACAGATGTCAAACCTTGAACAAGTGGGTTGTCATGGGTAGCTTAGCTGGACACTTACACTGAAAATGGCTGAAATGGTGCCAGTCACATGGGCCTGAGAGGAGATGACTGGAGCAGGAAGTTCCACATGGCCACACGTGGATTGTCCCTGAGGGGGAGAAATCAGAGAGGAAAACAACATAGGAAGCAGTACAGTCATTTACTTATATTACAGTAGCACCTGTCAACCACACGAGATCAGGACTCCACTGTGCTAGGCCCTGTACATATGTACGTACACACAGAAAGAGACAGTGCCTGCCCTGCAAAGCTCACCATCTGACTAAACAAGATGGACACAGGGTGTGAGAGGAAACAGAGAGGTGAAGTGACTTGCTCAGGATCACACGTCAGTCATGTGTCAGAGCTAGGAACAGAGCCCAGGCCCCCAGAGTCCTAGTCTTTAGACCCCATCTCTCTGAGGAACTTTGAGTAGTTCCCATTATAATGCTGTTCCCAGCCTCTGCTGGAACATAGGATTTGCCCTACCTGCCTCCTACAGTGACCCAGTCCTTGCTGCTTCAAAGGGAAGACGGAAAACCCACTCACTGTAAGGCCCTTGGCCAATGGACCCAGTTTCCAGGCAGCCTGTCCACCTGCGACATCCCTGCTCGGTGTCTGTCAGTTTCCACTTTTCCCTAGGGCAGAACTGATTCTGTAACTTGGGAAAACACTGGCTGCAGCTGGCGTGATCACATTTAATTAACGATCCCCATCTCCCTTTGAGTCACAGCCCCCTCAGGCGCATGCTCGTTGGGAGGGACCTGTGCCCCAGCCCACTTCCAGCCAAGCCAATCTAATTAAGCCCTCAAGAGATATTAATTAACTCATGAAATTGATCAAGCGAGGTGGCTGCCCGGATAAGAAAAGTGTCTAATTGGCCCCTTAACTCACCCACTGCTAAGCAGCGCATGGATATGGACCAGAACCAACCGGGCCCTTCCAGGTTCTCCGCAGTGCCAGGAGAGTTGCAGTGCAAAATGAAGGCCTATTTTCCCTTGTAACGCCTCGCTTACCATGTCTCTGCATGTCCCACCCCAGGGTAACATGCACACTGGCAATGTAGTCTGCATCTCAGCAATGGAACTGCAGGGCACGGCCGTATGATGATGGTGCCAAGCAAGTGCCTGTTAGCCTGCCACATGCCTGACGGGTTCACATGGACGGTCCCCCATAAGGCAGATGTTTCACAGCTATAACAATATACACAATGCACAAGGAACTGGCCCATACACTGTTTGAACTGAATTGGAGTGGGAAAGTAAGTGTGTGTGTGTGTCTCTCTCGAGAGGGGGTGGGGGTACTGTGCCACTCTGGATACTGCTAAATTATCTCTGCCAGGGATGACTCTTCTAAAGAGCCTTTGGTCTTTCCCATTGGATCACACCAAATGGCAGGCATTTCCCAGGGGAGGAAATCACCAGACACTCCCCTGCAAGGAGTTCCCCTGCTCCTCATCCCACCAATGCCTCAGTTCAGACACTAGCCATATAACTTGGGACATGCAGCACTTCAATAAACCCACTGATGGGGCAAACTGGAAATTCAGAGAGGGACACGAAAAATTAGGGCAGGGTTGGGAGGATGTGTGGGAATTGATTGGAAGAACCAAATACGCATAGCCTGGCTTCACAATGATGGAGGGGAACGTACAGTATGATACACCAAACCCTTATAAAGTATTTGAAGGCTACAAACAACAAGAATGGTAGGAAGATAGTTAGGTTAATCCAAGGGGTTTCAGTAACATGGAATCAAGTATCAGGGGGTAGCCATGTTAGTCTGTATCCACAAACACAACAAGGAATCCGGTGGCACCTTAAAGACTAAAAGATTTATTTGGGCTTGAAATAGGAACTGGGGGTGGCTAGCTCATTACAAAAGCAGCTTTGCCTCTCCTGGAATTGACACCTCCTCATCTATAATTGGGAGTGGATTACATCCACCCTGATGGAATTGGCCCTGTCAACATTGGTTCTCCACTTGTGAGGTAACTCCCTTCTCTGCATGTGTCGTCATATAATGCTTGCATCTGTAATTTTCACTCCATGCATCTGAAGAAGTGGGTTTTTTACCCACGAAAGCTTATGCCCAAATAAATCTGTTAGTCTTTAAGGTGCCACTGGACTCCTTGTTGTCTTAGTAACATGGAATGAAGTTAAACAATGAAGCTTTGGGCTCAACTTCAAGAAAATATTCTAACAGGCAGAAATAGCAGACTGTGGAATGGTCTCCAAGGAACACTGGTGGAATCCCCATTGTTCAGTTATTTAAAAGTGAACTGGTCAAAGCATTGGCAAATATACTGCAGGGAACAGTCCTGCACTGGCCACAGCATGGAAGACAACTGGACATGAATTTTCCAACTAATTGTTTTTCCATCAGAAAATGTTGATTTGTCTAAACCGAAACTTTTGGGAGGAAAGGGCATTGAGGGATGAGGACTGGGCTAGCTGGGCTGGGGTGCACTGGCATGGCCGTGCACGTGGGTGGAAGCTCGTGTGTTGCTGGCACTGTGCCTGGATCTAGTCGAGGACGGGCAGTTTCGCAAGCACAAAAACTCCCACCAAGGTGGAGCCAGATTCTTAAGACAAAATTAAAGATGATGTTCACTAGAGAGGTGCCAGGCTGTGTACACGGAGCTTTCAGAAAGCCCTCCCCACAGCAAGTGGGCTGTGGAAGCTACTCCACAAAAATCGAGACCAACAGTTCACTCCCCCACACCCTCTCCTTTGGCCGGGTAGTTCAGCTCTGCCAATGGGGCACACTGTTGTGTGCCAGCAGAGCTGGGTGATGGAGCTGTGTTTTGTACATTGCCTGAACCTGATACCCACATCCCAAATGCTTCACTTGGACAGCCACACCTGAACTGCCTTGGCCAGGAGGGACAAGTGATTCTTCTGGTCAGTGTGGGTCGTGGGCACAGCCCAGAGCCATCTGTCTATTACAGAGCACAGAAACCTTAGGTGCAGGAAGCATGACAATATTCCCTTGCAGGTGCCCACAGGAAATCACACATTCTAGAGCATATGGTGAGCCCCTCCCCCCTCAGACTCTGTCCAAACTGCCCTGGGACTCCCACATCAGCATCACCGGGTTATGGTTAGTGGCATGTTGCCAGTAAGCCCTTGCACCAGCCGCGGGGGGTTGGGTGACACCTCCTCCTGTCCTCCTGTTTTACCCATCCCAGCTTTATCACCATCATTGGCTCTGGTGTGCACCCCCTCGGTTACCTCGGCAACCTTGCACCAAGCTTCCCAAGAGCGAGAGAAGTCCCCAGATGAGCTCTCGGTGCACCGGGGGCTGCTCCTGCTGGGAAACCGGACCCCACATATCACACAACTGAGTTCTATTCTTATCCCCCTGCTCTGGGGCGGAGGTGACCTGTGCGTGAGTCATGCTGCTGGAGCGGAGTGATGTCCTTATTAATGGCTTATGTGTGGAATGGGGGGACGGGCAGTGGTGGCCCTGGAGATAGGGACCCTGGCCCGCCGTGAATAAGCCTCCCTGGTCAGTGATTTGAAGGGAGGACGACGACTTTCTGTCTGGTATTTAAAAAAAAAAAGTCAACCCTTACCATGGGGGTGAGAAGCATAGAGAGCAGGAAAGGGGAAAAACAGCTACAGCCCAGGCCAAATGCAAAGGTGATGGAGCAGAGGGGAAAAAGAGGTGATTTGGGGGCGGGAGGGGGGCGGCTGAAGGAAGGACAGGAAGATTTATCTGTGCTGAGCTTAATCATGCTCAGTTTGGTAGTTTAAACAGAGGAAAATTACGGCAGGAAAAGCAAAACCGCAGCTAAGTTGCGTAGGCAGTAGGGAGCCAAGTCACGCTATTGTGAATTGGGCCGCACGGACTTTCCCGCTAATAGATCCCCCCTCCTTGCCAAGCCCCAGCAAAGCTCTGGGCACGTGGCGCGTGCTGCAGATGGAGCGGCAGTCCCAGCTGGGCACGTTCACGCTCCATGCCGGCCTCGTTCATGGTTTACTTTTTGGCTGTGCAGAGATGACATGGCTGGCTGGGATCGAGCATGCTCCTGGCTTGGGCTGCAGACAGCCTTTTCATTTCTCCTGTGCTCACAGAGTGGTTATCCGAATGGCTCTACCCTTCTCCCCAACCTGTGAGGAGCAGGCTATTTTGGCTGGAACTAGACAAGGAGAGACTTAGGGGCCATAATGCTCTATGTTCAAACACCTGCTACATGTTCAGCTCTCAGCCATTCACAGGAGGAAGCAAGCAGGTCCTGGGGAGTCAGGGAGCCCTGTTTTAACCCTGCCTTGATCAGTGACTTGCTGAGGGGCCTGGAGCACATCACCAACTCTCTGTTCGCCAATACTTTGATGGCCACCTGGGACTGTACAGTCGTCTGCATACTGCATGCCACAGCCACAGGGAATCCCCAGATCAGCTGTGAAGCTAGAACACAGATCCTCCTGCTCCAAAAGCACGGACTCATTGGAGCAAGAGGGGAATCTTATTCTGCCAGCAATATAGGGCGTACAACACACAGCTCTGGGTCTATTCAGCAAGGACAGCGTGTGAATGTATATATAGGCTGGACAATGTACTAGAAGACTTCTTTCCCCACCTCACAGGAATGTGGATGATTCATCGTTTGTACAGTGCTTCAAGCATACAAAGCCCCACACAAACACTAGGTATTTTTACGAAGACAAAGGATCATGAAGCCCTTCATCATCTGGTTAAAAATAGGTTGCCATGTGTAATTGTGGATCCTTTCTGGAATTCCACAGATGGCAGGGACTTGTCCTGCAAAGTTTCTATTACAGCAGGCAGAAAGGTTTTGACATTTCAAAATTTTAGCTTCTTTTCACAAAACAATAATTGAAGTTTTTTCACCAGCTCTAGTTTTTTATTTCAAAGGGTTCAGGCAATAGCAGTCAGCCAAATAGCTAAGCAAGAGCCATTGGTCCTAGCAGCACTAGCAACTTCTCACTGTCCTAGAGAATACTAGTCCCTGGATCGTCACAGATTCGCTCTTGGCTGGAATCCTATGGTAAGGCATAGGGCCAGCATGCTCCGCACTGGGATGGATTCTACACAAGCAGGGGCGAAGCATTACATCTGTAAGAACAAAGGTGAAAAGCAATG